ACCAGGATGCCCCTGATTAGTGATGGGACACCCAGTCAAATAAGACACTAAATAAAAATAGGCCCATTAACTAAAGACTTAATACCCAACCCAGACAAGAGGATAACAAAATATCAGCCGAACCAACAACAAATATTCATAATTCTTATTTCTCAGAATAAGAATGGTGTTTGGCATGAATCAATTTCTTCAAATTAATTCTATAAGTGACAACCACATAAAGCCAACTTGTAAATAAGTTATCCACCACATCTCATTGCCGTTCAAAATCATAATTACAGTTCAAAGCTTCAATAGAAGGAATGGCCCTAATCTACATTAAACACATTTTCAATTGTTAAAAACAGAGATACTACTTGGGGATGCTACTAAAATAAAAAATAAAAACAATACATTAAAAAGTAATAAACAAACATTCCCTAGTTTTGCTTTCTTCTTCATTTTCTTTCTGCTATTGAATATGCTATTAGGATTAATAAATCCTAACTTAAAAGTAATAAACAGGGTCAAAATTTTTCAGTTTTATGTTTAAACAGTAATCAAAGTCCTCCTTTTGATTTCTAGTACTGCTCTTTGTTTTTCTGCTTTTCGTCTCTGCTGTGACCATAATAACCCAGAAAAACCTGGAAACCTAACTCTTGACTGCCAAGCCATAGACAATGAAGGGGAACGGGACAGAGAAGCTGCTTTGGGATCATATTCATACGAGGAGCCCCTCCGGTAATCCCGTTCCCTTCTCTGCATCTCCATCTCAAGTTCTCACAAAGCTCTTGGTCTTTCTCATTCTTGTGATCTCTGTTACCTACATTATTTACACTTTGAAGTTCATTTCCACTTCTAGCCCCTGTCATCAACACAGCTCCTTCAACTCCTACCATCTTCCGCCCTCATCTTCTTACCAAAAATAATTGTCATAGGAATTGTTTGGGGTGATGCTAAAATCATAGAATAAAGATGTTTCAAATAAGTTCTCTGAAATAATAAAGCTAGGAACAAGTAATCAAAACTCTGAAGAAAAGTAGATAGCAAACTAGTTCAAAGAAATAGTTGCCAACGGATATAAAACCAGCAATGGAAGAAAGTTTGAAGAAAAAAACAAAGAGAGGCTTCAACTGGATAACAGAAAAAGGAAAAACACATTTAAATGAAAACTATTTGATAAAACATAGAATGAATGGGAGAGTCGTTAAGAAGATCTCTTGACCACTGATACAAATATTGTGTTTACAAACAAAAAAAAATA